TGATCGTTTATCAAGGAGAGGCAAAGAAAAAAGCATATAAAAGCCTTGCCAAATCACCTGAAGAGCTCGTAAAAGCCTTTACCAAGATCCTCTGGCTCCTCAACCAATTTGGCATTTTTTTAAACTCTTATCTCAAAGAGACGTACGAAGAAAGAATAAAGAATTGCCTACTTGATTGACGAGTTCGAAAAGGCCTATCCTAGGTCATCTGATCTCTTACATAGAAAATTTGATAGTTTTTAATACTTTCTCAAAGAGACGCAAAGAAGAAATCATATTGCCTTGCCAAATTAGCTGAAGAGCTCAAAAAAGCCTTTACCAAGATCCTCTGAGCTCCTCAACCAATCTGGCATTTTTTAAAACTGTTATCTCAAAGAGAGGATCGAAGTAACAATAAAAAATCGCTAAGTCGATTGAGCTCCTCAACCAATTCGGCATTTAAAAGATGTATTATCTCAAAGAAAGAACTAGATGACTTAGAGAAAACCTTTTCGGCTCTTGTGAGATCCTTAAATATTTTGGCAGTTTTTGAGTTTTTTAATCTTTCTCCTATTAAACTTCTTTTGAAGACAGAAACGGCAATTTGTACATTCATATCTGCATGCAGAGTTAAGTAGCTCAGGTGCAGTTTCTGTGATAATTGTTAAAGTTTTATTTTGTATGACTCGGATTCTTTGAATCTCTGACAATGAACACCAAAACTTATGTAAGTATTGGCGTATTGCATGACTGATGTACACAATATTTTTTTGTAGAGAGATTGAGAATTCAATTGTAGGATTCTCTGTCCGAATATCAAGAGTGATTTCCGTTACTATGTATTCCCTATATCAGGGTATTATCAAGGTGCTAACATATCGAATACTGCTTGATTTGTTTCCTGGAGGCTGAGGCTATTAGTCTCTGTCTATGCTGAGATGCTCTACATACCTACTTCTCTATTTACGAATCTCATTCAGCTCTTTTTAAATTTTGAAGTTTGCACTGGTTTCCATATATTCTTCTTTCTTAAGAATGTTTCGACTGTAAACTTTTGAAGTTTGGTAAAAATAAGCATTATCTTTGGTAGAGTATATATGGAAGAGTTTATAAAGTATGCGACTGGATAAATTGATTTATTTCTTTTGGTTGGAAGTCCTCTTCAAACTCTTCAACAAATTTAGTAGGTTTTTTATTCTTTGATCTTTTTTTTCTTGAAAGGATTATAAAAGAGTCAAATTGGTAATGGAGAAACTGAGAGGAAATATGGAAGGCCTATTCCACTCATATTTGCTTTTCAATCAATTTTGCATACAATTTTTTTTTCTTCGTTCCTCACTTTGAGAATGGCAGTTTACAAAAATCTTTTCTCAAAGAAAGGAATAGAAGAATGGCTAAAAATTGCCAAATTGGCTGACGAAGAACTCAGGAGATCATGGTATTCCACATACATTTACAAACTAATTGAACTCTTAGTGATTTATAATGATAAATTAATGCTTGGTCATTTCAGCCCCGAAGCACAAGCGAAATACATCTAAATACTCGATACAAAATCACACTAATAAATACATTCATACCTATATACAACGATCGCACTCATACTGTTTGGTAGAATACTCTACATTCCTCCACCTACCTGGTCACTACAATAAACTAATCTAATTTGGGGTTGATGGGGTACTTTAAAAGTTTTACACCGTAGACGCAACATGAGGGGCAATTGAGGTGGTACGTCACCATCAGCCCCTTCCCATTCACACCATCATACATTGATTACACTCATACTGTTTGTTAGATGGAGTACTCGATATTCCTCCATCTGTTTCCTAAAATAAACAATCTATATTGGTGTCGATGGGGTATTTTTATAAAATTTCCGCCATCGGTCCAAGACTTACACACAACCTGAGAGGCGATGGAGAGGCTACTTCGCCATCAACCCCTCCCCATTCACACCAATAAGTACATTCACTCATAGAAGACACAGAAACACAAAACACATATTTTGAAGGCTATATACAATAAAAAGTTCCCAATTCCCTTAAAAAGCGGAACAGGATACCCTGAAGCTCGATGTATTGATAGTGAAATTTAAAAAAAATTGGTAGAAGTGTTTTCAGCTTACACAATGCGACTATTTAATTTTATGCTTAATTAGATCACGCTTCATCACTATTAGATTTCTAAATAATAATAACTTTCAAACAAATTCATTGTTTTGACTAAATGAGTGGCTAACGGTTAACCCAGCTACAAGAAGCGCTAGTGGAAGGGACGAGGGACTGTTTTTAGCATCAGGTTGATACAAAAGCGTCGGAACAGGATGAAGATGAATCGGCTACTTTTTAATGGGCTCGCGAGAGGTTTGTAAACCAGGTGTCCCAATTGTTGAATCGGTGAAATCCTTTATTTTCGAGTCCCTCATTCCTCGGCTCGTTCCTTCGAATCGGTATTAATAAAGTGAAATGGCCGGTTTATTCAATTTCAAGGTGCATAAGGGCATTAGTCTGATGGCCGTTTTCTTTTAATTTCGCAAAACGGTCCGTCGATTCTAAAGAAAGTGTAACGAACACGCCTATGGAATAAGACAGTCGATTAAATAGTTAAACGGCGGTGATGCTGACTTTTTCTCACGTCGTCCTATTTCAATATGTGCCTGAAAGTATACTGAAAGGAAAGTCCGGCCTTCGGATGGAATCGGTAGCCGGCGTATAATCTAAAGGGCGGCCTATCCGTCTTTCACCCTCGGGGGATATCCAGTGCGTTCGATCCGTACAATTCCAACTTTCATGCCTGGTTTGATCAATTACAAACAATTCTGACCCATTGGGCCCGACACGATTCCAGTGGCGGTTAAGAAAAATTACAGGCATGGGCCATCGATTTGACGATCCCCTCGAATTGTCTTGTCTATTGCCTTCTTCGCTTTCTTACACGCTCTTTTTCATAATGAACATATAAACAGATTAACACTTCTTCTACAACCCTGGAATTATGCTGTAAAACATGTACACTTTCAACGTCTTTACAAGAAAATAATTATAATTTCCTCTTGAAGTCTTCAGGTAACCTGGGTCTAATCCACCGCTGTTAATGGCAAAAATCCGAAACGCCCGACAGTACAAAGCATCGAGGAGAAACACAACGACCAACCTAGGAGAATATAATAGGTACGTTAGGTTTGAAGGGATGACGGATCTGTAGTTTGGTTGTCTCAGAACATCCTGGTCCACCTAATCTCGCAAGTTTTGTCTGAAGCAATTTGGCATTTGCCAGACCACAAATGAGAAAGGAGGTATGACAAAAATTAACGAAAACGACCAAGCTAGAACACTAAAATGGGTATAAGTTGAGGTTTGCAGGGATTACGAATCTGTAGTTTAGTCGTCTCAGGTCATCTTGGCCCGCCCAATCTCGCTAGTTTTGTCTGAAACAATTTGGCTTGTGCCAGACCACAAAAGCGAGAAGAGACAGGCCAAAAATTAACGAAAACGACCAAGGTAGAAGAATATAATGGGTATAAGTTGAGTTCTGCCGGGCTTACGAATCTGTAGTTAGGTCGTCTCAGGTCATTCTGGTCCGCCCAATCTCGCATTTACCAATCCACAACAGCGAGAAGAGACAGGCCAAAAATCGGCCGGACCGACCAAACTAGAAGTAAATAATTGTTTGAGAACGAAAACTCACCATTGTAGAAGACAAAATGCCGTACGTTTTTGACGCCCTGTACATTAAAATTGCCAATGCCAACGGTATGAAGAAGGCAATATGCTGCAGGCGTCTGACGTCCTTGCTCAAATCACCAACATTCGACAAAACCAGTGGTATTTGAATAGTAAAATATTATGTTGAGGTCGGCCGAGATGGTGAACCTGTAGTTTGGTAAGAAATGTATAAAACAGTGACCAAAAACCCGTCTAACAGGTAAAACCAGCGAAAATAAGCGGACCAGGATGTTCAGGAAATGTAGTGATTTGCAGTTAGTGGGAGTTTGATTTTATCTATTTTTATGTAACAACAGAAGGAAGTAGAGGGTATTTTGTTTTGGTTGCACCCTCATCTTGTCCTAATGCTATTGGTGATGCCATGGTGACCGACGATATCCAACATATCGTATAATGTTATTATTAAAGAAAGAATATGGCTAAAAAACATGTCTTGTAGCAAATTAAGCGTAGGAAATATATTGAAACAGTGATTTGGCAATAAAAACAGTGGATTGATTAATACTTTAGGTTCTGTAACGTCGAAATTCGTTTGAAAGACAAAACCAGTAAGAATGGACGGACCAGAATGACCAGGGACGATAAATACACAAGTTCATCACGCAGACCTCAATATAATGTTGCATAATTAAGCTAAAAAGCTTAGTTTAAGTTTTAAAAGGGTTGTTCTTGTGGATTTTTACGTTTTGATGAAGGAGGGTGGTTTTTTGGTATGGTAGACCCTTCACTCGGCCTTTTTCTGTTGGTGAGTACAATGGTAATCCAGGATTTCAACCACTTTATTGTGGCAAGAAAGAAAGGCATGAAAAATGAAAAAAAATATAAACAAAAGGACAGTACCAGCACTATAGATGGTGAAATGTTGAAACTCGTCGGACAGGCAAAACCAACGCGAATGGTCGGACCAGTCTGGGCGGAGAGGATCAAGCAGTATATTCATCACGTATAACACAGTTTGGTACAAAAACAAAAGGTCTCCACCTTTCAAGGTTTCACCCAATGAGCAAAACACGAACTGCCCGTGTTGATGAAAATCCAATTAGATTTCAATAGAGTGTTACACCCCCTCTTGGACACGTTCCCCAAAGAAACCAGGGAAGACGTCCCAATTGAGGAAATGTTTGTACAAAAAGAGGGGGCGGCGAGCAAATAGGTTTGGAGGTTGGTTAACTGCTTCGGATATCAATGCGATAGTGATTGATAGGGGGTAAAACGGCGGAGGTGGATGAAGTGGAGGGCGCAGACGAGGAGGGGCTCCCCACTCTCACCAGATGAATATAGCCCTGCCGACTCCAGCTCACTCAATTCCAGTCCGACTACCATCCAGTGAGGACACGCTAGTTCGAGTGTTGTGATTTCGTGTCGTATATTTAAAACTCTTTTTTTAAGAGAGAAAAAAGATCAAGCCATTTTGAGAAAACAACAGGTAAGACTTCTTAACTTTTCCAACATATATTTTTTTTTTAGATGTAGTATTTTCCAACTATGATCTCTCTCTCTCTCTCTCTCTCTCTCTCTCTCTCTCTCATATANAATATTTTAATATAACTAAAAATAGATGGTCTCGATTTGTATACTTGCTGTTCATTTAGTAGGACATTTCGCAAAATTTGACAGTACAGAATTTAAATTTGACAATTTTCACATCTGAAAATATAAGAGGTTTTCCTAAAGATTTGATTGACATTTAATAAAATTGCCAAACTGGAATTAAACTAGATAATAGTTCAAAATGTAAAAAATTTATATTCATGAGCTGATCATGCAGTTTTTTTTTCAAATGTTTTTGCCCATCACATATAAGTTTTTAAAATGATTTAATAAGGAAAATGAAAGCTCAATATAAACAGATTTTTCAAGCACTACGACTAAGTCATTTTTCAAAAATTAATTTATTTCGGATTTTACTGATACTTTTCTTTTCTAAATTCGTTGAATTATGACACAAACAACAGTTCAAAGTTTTTATTTTTTATTTATGGTTTGATTAAGCAGCAACTGTGGACTTACCTCGTCTAACAAACCTAAGTATGAAACTTTTTCCGGTGATACTAGGTGGAAAAATGTTAGACACGTGCCTGAACGTTCATGCATACTGACATAGGAACCTAGAAAAAAATTAAGTAATTTAAATAAATTTTTTAAATAAAATTTTCTGCCATTGCTGTGCATGTATTTATTTGTTTTTTCTCTAGAATAAGAAAATAACAAGTAGGCTTGTATTAAATTATGTTAGTAATATAAAAAGTTACAAAAATCAAGACAATGCCAATAAAAGTAAACTTAAAAAAACCCAAAAAAAACCGGATTCTTTTGAAACAACGTTCAAACTTTTCTAGTACGAATTTTCATATGAAATAAGAAAATATATATTTTTGGGCTGAATAAGCCAGTTGGAGGCACTTTTTGTTTCTTTTTCGATGTCCTATGTTCAACATAAAAATGTATAACTTCTTCGGATTTTGTACAGATTAAAAAAAAAAAAAACAGAAAACCAGTAATTTAAATACATTTTTTAAATGTAGTTTTCTGCCTTTGTTATTCAATAACAATTAATATATAAGTATTTCAACAGTTTCAAGGTGCACATTGGTGAATTTTTCTACGTAGGATCAGAAAATAATAGGTAGGATCGAACTGAATTATACAAGATATATATAAAGGTTCAAAAACCGAAAAAAGGCTTCAAATAAAGTATAGAAAAAATGGATTTTTTTAGAGAAGAACTATTCAGTTTTGTTTTAAGCACCCTTTAAAGTTTTTATGTACGAATTTTCATATCAATTAAAAACTATATATTTTTGGGCTGAATGTGTTCAACTTAAAAATCCATAACTTCTCTGGATTTTGCACAAATTAAAAAAAAGAAGTATTTAAATACATTTTTTAAATGTGGTTTTCTGCATGTATTTCAAGATGATTATATATATCTCAGTCGATTTGAATTTTAACTATACTAAAAAAATAATAATCAGCATTGTATTAAATTAGATTAGATGGATAAAGTTTCCAAAATCAAAAAACATTTTCCAATCACGAGCCCAATTTTTTTATAAAAATATGAATTTGCACTCTTTGAAGTCCTTAAGTACGAATTTTCATATCAATAAAAAATACACATTTTGGGCTGGATTAGCTTACCGGGGGCAATTTTTTTTGTTCTTCCATGTTCGGTGTTCTACTTAAAAATTCAAAGCTTTATAAAATTAATTTTATACAAATTCTACGTTTTTATAACCGTTGGAAAGCTGAGGATTTCTTCTTTAGGTCTATATCAACAATCTTGGTTTTTATGACATTATAAAGGAGAAAGATTAGGATGAAATAAACAAAAACACTCAACACGTTTTATTTTATATTTCCGGTTATGATTTATTCACCTGGTCTGTACCATTCCGTGAAGTTTATAGGGTTATAAACTGCTGTATAATTTCTTATAAATCGGCGGAGTCGTTTCAGAGTTGTCACAATTTTTGTGATTTTCGAAAACAAATCGGATTTTGGAAGACGAAAATTTTAAGAATTTTTTTAATATTTTCCCAAACATTTGTATTCAGGGGCTCTTTGGGACGCTGGAAACGAATATCGATCTTGTTTCTTGCTATAAAATATTTTAACATACGTTGCTAAGTTGCTTGGACATTATAGTGTATGTATATTTTTTTTATCTTTTACAGCTAAGCTTTTAATATTATTCTATATGGTTCAACATTTTTGTCAATACCAAGTCCTCTTTCAAAAACTAAACAATGTTTTTCAAATTTTAAAGAAAATTGTCTAATAAATTTGTAAAATACTAAGCAGGGTTCAAAAATTGTTCCGAAATCGGACACTTAATGTTGAAATTTTTGCTATTTAGAAATTAAAAATGCTTAAAAATAGTAATGTTAATAATATGAAACTTTTATAGAAATGCGTATATAACAGCTCAAAATAAATTCTTAAGACGATATTCGAAGTTATTAAACGATTTGTCTATAAAATATATATTATTTCACGTTTATTATCTAGCCATACGTTTTAATTTTTTATAGCAAATATCAAATATCAAAAATCAAAAAAATCAACTGGCTCTTTTTTTAATTTTTTGGTCAATGGTTTTGAGTAGGTATTTACACAGAAAATATTTGCGTGCCAGTATTTAATCGTTTCGCCATGTTAAATAATGTTATTTCTTTTTTTTAAAAAGTTTATAAGCGAATCAAATCCCTGGCAGTACAATGAACGTGAAGAAAACTAGCGAGATTGGGCGGACCAGGATGATCGGAATCAATGGTACAAGTCCATATATCGCATATTCGACTGTAACGTTAAAAAAAGAAAAAAAATTAAATAGTTGCATCTTCAATAGTCAAGTTGTCAAAAATGACATTCCTACATATGGTCACACGGTCACATAGTGTGTACAAATGTAGTCAGCTTTTTTCAATATTAATTATAGTCGTTTCGTCATCAGTTTATCACTAACCACCAGTTTCTCATAGACGAGATTTTTCGGTCAGTATTGAGTTTAGCTCGTTTCTGTCTAAGAGATTGGATATTTTTATAGTGGGTGTTCTTTTCTTTATCAGTTCTGACAATCTCATTTGTTCTTTATCAGAGGCTTTTCGCCTTCTCAACACGACGAAAGGCACATCCTGGATGACATCATTGCGTTGATAGAGCCAAGCAATCCTGACAGTTTAAAAAAGAACGTCGCCAGAATGAACAGCGAGATAGGTAGCTGAATGCCGAAGAATTTTAAAAGAAAATGAGGAAGTTTTAACTTTTTCTCGTACTTTTCTAGATTTTATATTATCACGTTGGAACACACTTCATCTCGTTTGTACAAAATGGAAAAAAATCGAAAGAAACGCCCATGGTTTTATGACAGTAGTTACAAATCTCTTGTACGTTTTGCCCGAGTGTCTGGACTTGGCCAGTAGATAAGGCAGATAATTGTCAGACAGCCCCAGTTTGCTTTATTGCCCTCGTTCTCTTCCCTCATTTCAAACTAAACCGGCGAAATCTTTTCCATTAGTTTTCCCCCCGAGATAAATGGGTTTTGGTGTAATTTATGTTTATGTACTGGTGTGTTTTGAGTACTTTTATGACTATTGGAACAGGTTCCCAGGCCAATTAGAAACGTGATTATACATTAAAAAAAGCGGAATCTTTGTGGAAAGAGAAAACAAACGAAAAACGATAAAAACCCAAATAGGAAATGCAAATGGGCTTCGGCATACCTCGGGCCCTCTAAAAAAACTCTTTATCTCACTTCTGTAAATTAAAAATTAATTAAGCCATCAACGAGATAATTGAATTTTTAAAAATGATTAATAAAACTATATTCTTATTATAGGGGAGAGCCGGTAACGTTTAGAAATTTCCTTCCTTTACAATTTGTATTTTAAAAGTTTTCTTAGTTATAATTATATAATTTTTTTATTGTACTGATCAACATTTAGTGTAAATTCTATAACTATAAAGATCCTTATTTACTTAGAGGTAAGAAAATATTATAGCGAGGTGAAGAACCTGCAGCATCATCTCTCTAATCATCCTGATCCGCCTATTATTGCTGTTGTCTGTTAGACGTTAATTTCACATAAAATCTTTTTATCTTTCTTCATCTTTGAATTTAAGTTATATAAAGGATGTCCGTATTTTTGAGTGATTTATTTGTCGAAAAATAATTCTATCAGGTTTGCAATCATAACTGTTGATCGCCTCCGGTCATCGTGGTCCGCCAGTCCTCGCTTGTTTTTATTTGTTAGACATTAATTTCACGTCAAAGTTTAATTTTATATTTTATCTTTTGTTATGTAAATTAAAGAATGTGTGTATATTCGTGTTGGTTTAACTGTTACGAAGAGTTTTTTGAGGACTGCAAGGTGATGAACCTTTAGAATTGAACGCCTCCGGTCATCCGGGCCCGCCTGTCATCGCTTGTTTTACCGGTTAGGCGTTAACTTCGCGTCAGACCTTTTTCAAAATATTTTGCCTTTGAAGTTACGTTAATTAAATGTCTGTATGTTTGGACTGTTATACCGTTAGTGATTTTAGTGAGGTACCCGAACCTGTAAATTAATTGTCTGCAATCATCTTGGTCCATTTGTTTTCGCTGGTTTTATCTGTTTGACGTTAATTACAGTGAATAAATTTCATTTATTTTTGGAGTTAAGTTAAATAAAGGGTGTATTTTTGCACTGTTTCACCTATTGTGAACTATTTCAGTGAGGTCAGCGAAAGGAACATGTGGTTTATTCGTTAGTCCTCCTAGTCTCGCTGTTTTGTTGTTGGACTATTTCTTGTCATAAGTTATTTTATATTTTGGAGTTAGAAGGATGCCATTATTTTTGTACTGTTCCATCTGTTGTGAACTATTATATTGAGTCTGCTGGGTGATGATGCTTTAATTGTCTCCAATCCTGGGTGTTTTTGCTT